TACCTTTGGTCGTATGTACCAGATTAGCTACTGCACTAGGTTATATCCAGTTCGTGATTCTGCGTCGCATCCATTTGTGCCAACTTGACTTGGATACCCACAACTCCAAGCCCGCCTGATCCTCCCGGATAGCAAATTGACAAAGATAACCTGACGCGCTATCTGATGAAGATCGTGATTGTTCAGCACTCAAGGTCTGTGAAATAGAACAAGAAGGTGTTCATGGGCGCTATTTTCCTCTGCTTTCCGCATGAAATGATAAATTGGGAACGCGTTGATCGTTCAATACGCGTTTTTCTTTTGTGACGACACACACAACCGTGACAACGTTTTGGGCATGCCACCCGCACAGCGCAAGAGTTAATACAATATTACATTTCATCAAAAGACTGTAGGCTACGTCATCGAAGCTTATCGATGAATTTTTCTAGCGCTATCCTCTCTCCAAATTACAACCACGATGAAGCTGACCGCCAACGTGCACATCACAGCCAATACTGACATCCACCATCTGTACCCAATCTTCGCTTTCGTTGTCGGCGACACAATAGTTCCGATAGCAGCCATGATATTTCGCGCCAAGTCCAGATCCGCAACAACAGAAGCACCGACCCCGGGTCTAATGTCAACGAGAAACGGCATCACTGTCGATGTGACGAGCATGAAGCCCACACCGAACAAGAACGCCCCGATGAGAGGAGTTATCCAGGATGCTTTCCGATCGATCAACCAGCCGTAGATGAGGAACCTAGCGGGGACAAAACCCACTCCGTACCATGCTGTCTTGAGTCTCTCGACGGGGTGGATTTCTCCGCTGTGGATGAGCTGGGATTGACGTAGCTTGGCGTGCTCAATTTCCCACCGACGACACTGCCAGTTGCGTACCCGGCGCAGTTACTGATGTAACAAAGGCCGATTTCGATCGAGGAGAAGTTATACGGCTGTGCGGCGTATGCGAATGGAAGAGTCGTGGTCAGAGAGTAAAGACTGCCGTAGCATATGCTCACGTATGCGATAGGTAGGGCAATTGACGGTACAAGCAGAAATTTGAGCTTCGATAGCGGCGCTACGACATCGCATTTCAATGCTTGATACTATGGCTGCTTTTCTTGGCTCTCACGCTTAACCAATGTCTCGGGCAAAAGCAGCATAGTGAGCATAGCGACGCTCAAGGTTAAGATGCCCATAAAGTACAGATTCGCACGCCAGCCAAGCCAAGTTTGCAGGCCACCACCGATGATGCGTGGGATCAGAGGCCCAAGAAGCGTGTCCATGTAGAACCATTCAAGGCCGACCCTCTCTCAGTCGAGATATAGATATCGCTTATGACTCCTGCGCCGAAGCTCTGGGCCGAAGAACATCCCACCGCCTCGATGAAACAGAAGAGGACCACTAGAGGAAAGTGGTTGGATAACGCACAAACAATGAAAGCGACCATTGGGATAAGAAAACTGAAGATCAAAACAGGTCGACGGCCATACTCCTGGCTCAGAGTGCTACACCACAATGGGGCAGTGGGTCGGGTCTGTCGCTTCTCAACTCATGCTGTCCATGACGACGACTTTGTCAGGGCTGATGATCCTAATTCCGACTATGAAGAGTTGGGTATCTACTACTGGCATGATCTGTCTTGTATGGATTGCCCTTGTAAAGATGAGGTCAAGACTACTCAGTCTCATACTACCCTCGTTCGCTCAGTCACCACCGCCTCAATTGATGTTACTACTACAGAGCCTACTACCACGGAAGATAGAGCTTCAATGGTGTGGTCATCGGCAAAACCACCTCGCCCTTCCGCCGCCGACGCCTGAGAATGATGAAAGGCTTTCGAGCTTTGCGAACAGAGCGATAACATCCCAGCGAATGATTGCTGAGGCGCTCCTAGAGCGTCAACTCTCAACGGTACCGAAAAGGCCCGGTTGACCATGAGCCAAGAGTCACCAGTCAGGTGCAGTGTGCTGTTTTCTGCAATACCAACCCCGACTGCCGCGCCTGGATATTCTTGCAGAAGAACATGGAGATTGAGTGTGTTGTTGCATCAGATGTTAGGAGGATTGATGAGCTTGACTATGCCCATGATGCGTCTATGCATGAGTGGTATCCTTGTCAGTATCTTGCTTGTATGAGCTGTGTTGCCAATTAAAACTGGACATGGGATGTTTAGATGATCTGAATCAAAGGTAGTTTAGCGTTAATGTTGTTTGTTCTTGTATAAAACAATATCAAAAAGTAAGCGTTGGCTGTTACATCCCTCATCTTATTTATTATGATACGTCTGGTACTTGTTGGCCTGAACCACTGCCACAACTGAGCTTCGCAGTGACTCATCAGATCGACAACGAAACAACGTTAAAGACGGATGATGGATATAAAAGTGCGATTCACTGTCTTCGCACAGATGTATATAGCCAGAACAGGTACCTTTTCCGCCTTCTTCCTCATCTAGCAACCAATATAGAAATACCAGCTCGCACTAAAGAAGGATATCTTGAAAGGAACCACGTCATGAGTTCAAGTACAAACACTGCCACTACGAGCAGCGATGCTCCCCTTACCAACGGAAATACCAATGGCGTTGCCGCTCGTGGGAGCAATCGTAATGCGCCGTCCCCGGAGCCGATCCCTCCAGCCAACCCGAACACTCCAGCAAATGAGAGCCCTACAACGAACGGGACGCAGGTAAACGGAGTGCAAACAAACGGCGGGCGGTAGGTTGACAACTGCGATACTTGGGTAGGGATGTTTGTTTCCTTTGAAGGATCGTTGGAAGTATATGGGACAAAGTGAGGTTGATGGAGATGGTCAATTGTCAAGCCAGCTATAGTCAGGTATGGAATACGCTCATGGGCTTTCTGTACCCCAGAATCAATTGAATGGAAAAAGAATAGCCGTTTTCCTACTACCTTTTACATATCACAAGATGGTGATTCTTTTTGTGACGCCTTGGTAACTGTAAAGGTGCAGATAGAATAGAAACCTCCACTACAAACAACAACAAGCCAAAACATACTCGCGACTAACATCACGAGGATAAAGAACAATACCTTTTTCTCTGTTTGCAAAAATAAATGTGTGAACAAGTCAAAAAGAGCGACCACGGCAGGAGTCGAACCTGCAAT